AAGGAATGTGTGTTGTAGGATATTACTAGATCTAGGCATCGGCAAAATTAGGACCCAGGCAAAGTGTGTATGGTGGTTTTAATATATTTTTCTCTTCTATATTTCTCTCTTCAAGAGGTGAAATTCGATTTCCCTTCCCCTAAGTGTGGGCTAGAATTAGTGGTTACTTTTAACAAATAGAATATGGCTGAAATGATGGTGTGTGACTTCTGAGACTAGGTCATAAAAGGCACTGTGGCTTCTCCTTGTCCTCTCTCTTGAATCATTTATTCTGGGGGAAGCCAGCTGCCATGTCATGAGGATATTCAAACAGCCTATGGAGAGGCCCATGTGGTGAGAAATTGAGGCCTCCAGACAACAACCGTGTGCGTGCACCATCTTGGAAGGGGATCCTCCAGTCCCAGTCAAGCCTTCAGATAAATGCAGTGTCCTGAGTGACCCTGAGCCACAACCACCCAGGCCTCATGTTCTTGAATTCATGACCCATAGAAACTGATAAAGTATATTTGTTTTGTTTTAAGGTTCTGAGTTTTGGAGTGAATAGCAATAGATAATAATAATAATTGCCAAAACCGGTTTGGCTCAATGGATAGAGCGTCGGCTTGGGGACTGAAGGGTCCCGGGTTCGATTCCGGTCAAGGGCATGTACCTTGGTTGCGGGCATATCCCCAGTAGGGGGTGTGCAGGAGGCAGCTGATCGATGACTCTCTCTCATCGATGTTTCTAGCTCTCTATCTCTCTCACTTTCTCTCTGTACAAAATCAATAAAATATATTAAAAAAAAAAATAGATAATATACTTTACTATTTATTATTGAATATTAGACATTGTGTATGAAAAATAATTTGAGGCTTTTTTTTAATGTTGTCTTCCTCCAGAAAGGCTTCACATTTGTTTCTTTCCAGTGGACTATTAGGCTAGAGGTATTAGAAATTCCAGATCACTTTACTCAATTGAGATGATAAGAAGCCCCTGTAAGGTCTAATCTATTTTCTATTCACCCCTATTCCTAAAGTGTTGTCCTTAAGGGTTGCAAGTCAAAGCTTGTGGGGTTTATCATAGCTTTTTCTTCCTTGTGGGCCCTGAAGTCCAACTTTCCTCCTCTTATCCCCACGAGTCTAACCAAAGCTATGCACAATCTCTCTGCTGCGTCTTCTGGAATAAGCAGATGTCTTTAGGGGAGAAGAGGCAGATATTCCCAAATATAGGTTTCTTTTTCCTCTTGAATTTTGGCTTCATAATATTTCATTGCCTTTGATAGTTCTCCAAAAACTCAAACAGATGCTCTTAAAATTTTGTCTAGCTTTTCTACTATTTCTCAATAGGATGCTTAGTTTCAATTACATAGTTCAAGATTACCCCATTAGTAGAGATGAAACTCTCCCAAGAATGAACTTTTAAAGATGTAAACTTGATCATACTACTCTTGCTTAAGTCCCTTCAATAGTGTAGGAAGATGTTTTCAGCTGCAAGCGACAGTATACAGCAGCCCCACCCCACTCCCCTTACCTGTGATTTCACTTTCTGCAGTTTCAGTTTACCACAGCCAACCGAGGCCCAAAAATATTAAGTGGAAAATTCAAAAGAAACAAACAATTCCTAAGTTTTAAATTGTGCACCATTCTGTGAATCATGATGAAATCTCATGCTGTCCTGCTCTGTTCACGGCATGAATCATCCCTTCGCCCAGCACATACACACTGCATAAGCTCCTCACCAATTAGTTACTCTCCACTGATCAGTTAGCTGTCTCAGTTATTGGATTGATTGTCATGGTTTGTATCACAGTGCTCGTGTTCAAGTAACCCTTATTTTATTTAGTGATGGCCCCAAAGTGCAAGAGTAGAGATGCTGGCAATTCGCATAAACCTAAGAGAAGCTGTAAAGTACTTCCTTTAAGTGCAAAGGTAAAAATTCTGGGCTTAATAAGTTAAAAAGATCATATGCTGAGGTTGTAAGATCTGTGGTAATAACAAAACTTCTATCCCTGGGGGTCTTGGGACATATCTCCTGTGAAAAAAGGGGGCACTATTGTACTCAATGCGATGTATAAATTACAGGGCTTGGTGATCTTATGACAAGAATTGGGTAGTAGGGTAGTACCATGGTTGGTTAATTCAGTATGCTTGTTCTATAGGTCTGCTTTGCCATCCTCAACATGTTGCTGATTATTTACCTTTACCCTTATGGTAGCAAAATCATTGATGGGACTCTGCATTAGTTATCTATTGCTGAATAAGAAAAACCCTCAAAGTTTAGCCCCTTAAAACAACAAACATTTATTATCTCACAATTTCTGTGGGTCAGGAATTTGGGAATAGCTAAGTTGGATAGTTCTGGTTCAAGGTTTCTGATGAGATTACAATCAAAGATGTTAGCATCTGAAGGCTTGAGTGGGCCTGGAAGGTCCATTTCCAAGATGGCTCATTTACATGGCTACTGGCAGGAGGCCTCAGTTCTTCCTTGCTGGCTGTTGACAGAAGGCCTCCGTTCTTCACCACCTGGGCCTCTGCATCAGGCTGCTTGAGTGTCCTCATGACCTCGCAGCTGACTTCCACAGAGTGATGATCCAGAAGAAAGAGCAAGGAAGAATCCACAATATCTTTTATGATCTAGTCTTGAAAGTCATACATAGTCATTTTTAATACATTTTATTCATCAAAAGTGAGTCAGTAAGTACAGCCCACACTCAAGGGGGAGAGAATTAGCCTCCACCTTTTAAAAGCACGAGTACCAAACAATTTGTGGACATATTTTAAAACTACCATAAATAATAAACATAATGTTCTCATAGGACAGTATCCCAAGGAAGATCTGGAGTAGGGGAAAAATAAAAAAATAAAAAGACCTTGGTCTTCTAGTTGCTTTATCTTTTATGAGAGAGTAAATTCCTTCCCAGAAAGGGTCCGTGGACTTCTCTTTATCATTTGCCAAAATGAGTCAATACCCATTCCCAGACCAATTCATGACAAAGGGAAATAGAATAACCATGCCTAATTTAGGTAAATTATGATTCTTCCCTTGTGACTGTGAAAAGCCTATCTTCTCTGAGTATTTGTCATTAGCCCAATAATCAAATCAAATTTCTGTTAGCAAGGAAGGTAGTAACTGGAGAATGGATATCGGGTAGGCAACAGGGACTTCAACAAATGGCTTCTCATTGCTCTCAAGATAAAAAATCACCTCTTCATCATGCTTATTATGTTCAAATGATCTGGTCCCTGCTTATGTTGCCTTTCAGTATAATTTTAGACCTCTCTTCCTCACACTCTATTTGCCAGCAACATTGGACTTTTTGTGTTATTCCAAATTCTTTCCCATCCATCAGGATCTTTGCATGTGTGAGGTGGTTTCAAATCTAAAGGGGATAATATTCCAGATCTTTGTGGGCTTCAATGTTCTCATTGTGAGGAGTGAGTCACGTATATTCAGCCCTTAGCAGAGTCTGGCACACAGTTAAGTGTTCAATTAATTGGGAAATATTGTTAATTCAGACGTCAGATTGTATACTTGTTTTGCCTTCCCTGCTGATGCCTTTAGTTGCTAGTCTATCTTACCCAAAAGGAATTGTTTCCCATCACCACAATATCCTAGGTAGAATGAAATAAGTGCCATATGTATGCAGAACTGATCATGGCGGGGCCTCAAATGTAAATTCATTTGGAAGTAACTCTGTGGAGGTTTCTCAATGACAGGATTAAAAGAAACAAATGTGTATCATATACTAGTAACTTTAAACTTGTGTCTCATTATCAGACAGACACACTTGTCTCAATACCAATGCTCTGTGAATTAATATTGCCTACATCTTACCTGGACTTTGAGCACCATATGTAGGAAATTTTTGTAATTCTGACTTCATTCCAGCTAACTGTGTAAATACTGGACACTCACCTACCTAGTTCCTAGCAATGGTGACTATATTATAGTGTAGGTAGGTGTATGGACTCTACATGCTGACTGTGTAGGTTTGAATCCACCACTTACAAGATCTGAGACCCTAAACAAGCCAGTAAACTTTGTGCATCAGTTACTTGATTAGTAAAATGAGGATGACAGTACCTACTTCAGAGTTTTGTGCACATTAATGCGTGAAATAAGCTATGTGCTTCCTTTAGCCTTGTGCTGTAACCAGAACAATTACATTGCACTTTTTCTTTTAAAAAATATATTCTTATTGATTTCAGAGAGGACGGGAGAGGGAGAGATAGAGAAATATCAATGTTGAGAGAGAATAATTGATCGGCTTCCTCCTGCATCCCCCCCTCCCCCCACCACTGGGGATGGAGCCCAAAACCCAGTCATGTGCCCTGACAGGGAATCAAATCATGGCAACCACTGAGGCATACCACCAGAGCTGCACTTTTTCTTATAAAAAAAGGTAGGGAGGAGGAGGGACCTGGACTTCTAAGAAGTCTGGATTATTAAAACCAGTCAGCAGCCTTATGTGGAATTTCATTTGCATGAACTTGGATGAGCTGCCGGGAACTCTAAGGGGTGCGGCTGGGGGTGTGTGCTTTCCCCCAGAAAGTCATGGGTTTGGGTGGCGGGTGGCCTTGCAGCCACTCTGGATGAGGCGGCGGAGAGTCTAGCTAGCGACGACCTTGGGCCTCTGTTCACATTGCTTTGCGAAACACGCGCCTCCTTCCCCTCCACCCGCGGGCGCCGCCTCCCGCTCCCGCTCCCGCCCTTAGGAAAGTTCCCGGTGGTTCGCTGCGTGTGGTACGTGACGAGTGTGAGCCGCACGTCCCACCACCCCCTCCAGACTGACAGCGATTCGGAGCAACCGAAGCGCGCGGATGCCTTTGGCAGCGTCCAATAGAGGCTGCTGTTGGCGGCGCGGGGCGGGCCGGCGGCCGGGAGGGGGCGGGGCCGGAGCGGGGCGGGCCGGGGGCGGGGCCCGCGCTGCCTAGAGGTCTGCACGCGGTCTGAGTCGGACATTTGCTGCTGTCTCCGTCGCTGGCCGATCTGCGGGCTCCGTGCGCTGCTGCATCGCCAAGATGTCTCTCTCTAACAAGCTCACTCTGGACAAGCTGGACGTGAAGGGCAAGCGGGTGGTGATGAGGTAATTCTGCACATCCGCCCGCGCTTCCTCCGGGCTCTGCCGCAGCCTCTCCGGCCGGCGCCCACTTGCTTTCCCGCCTGCCCTAAGTCGCTTTTAGTCCTGTGCTCTGCCCTGTGGGCCCTAGCCATACTAGGCGATGCTGCCGATCATTGTGGCTGAGGCTTTTCCGAGTGTGACGCTTTCTAACCTCGTTTCTCCCAGCCCAGTAAACGAGCCGTAAGTGCCTCTTTGGGGTGGATCTACCGAGGAACAGCTCAGATTGCCGAGAACCATTTTGCCCTCTTTCCCATGCCTACCATGCAGTTCCGTGTCCTCCAGTTCCCTGTTGGCGAGGTGGGACTTAAGCAAATCCTGCAAATCTCTAGGCCCGAAGGCAGGGACCTTGAAAGGTCATTTGTCTGGTTTTCCTTCCCCGCCCTAGACCCTCCCACGCAAAGAGAAAGGTCCTTGCAAAAAAAAAAAATCTTTCCCAGAGGTTGTTGGTATAGATGTTCAGGAGTAGAACCCCCTAAAGCGTGTGTGTGTGTGTGTGTGTGTGTGTGTGTGTGTGTGTGAGTGAGAAGTCGGGTGGGGCTCACGGATGGCAGCCCTGCAGAGCTTATGTAACAGGCCTCTGCCACCCAACCTGGTCTTTGGACTCGGGGCGTTGGGGTTTGCATCAGGATTGTGACACATGCTGGGTAGAGCAGGGTGTGGCTACTCTTTCTTGCTGTTCTCCAACCTCAACCTCACAGGTCGCTAGAGAAGCAGGATATTAGAAATGGGGAAGGCTCCCCATATACTTGGGGGGTCTCTTACTCTGCACATGTGGACCCCTGGTCACCAATATGGCTCCTCACTTATTTGCCCCAGTTACTAGGATGGTGTATGGAGCTTGTACTTTCTTTTTGTAACTTGTGGTACATTTGTGTGTGCCAGGGGCATGAGGACAGTTGAGTATATAACTAATACATTTGACGGTTACATATCTTTTTTTAAAAATATATTTTTTATTGATTTCAGAGAGGAAAGGAGAAACATCGTTGTTGAGAATCATTGATCGGCTGCCTCCTGCACGCCCCCTACTGGGGATAGAGCCTGCAACAAGGGCATGTGCCCTGACTGGGAATCCAACCATGACCTCCTGGTTCATAGGTCAATGCTCAACCACTGACCCATACCCGCCAGGCATCTGTTACATATCTTTTTAAAAATATATATTTTATTGATTTTTTTACAGAGAGGAAGAGAGAGGGATAAAGAGTTAGAAACATCGATGAGAGAGAATCATCTATCAGCTGCCTCTTGCACACCCTCTCTGGGGCTGTGCCTGCAACCAAGGTACATGCCCTTGACCGGAATCGAACCCGGGACCTCTCAATCCGCAGGCCGACCCTCTATCCACTGAATCAAACCGGTTTCAATCTGTTACATATCTTGAGAGGATGAAAGGGTGGTGCTTTTGGGGGCCATACGGACTTGTTTTGATGGCATTTTGCAGGCTTGTCCTTTTTGGGAAATGATTGATGGCAGGCATGTGAATGGTGTGATTCAAGCCTTCTCAATTTGAGTTGGTTCACGTGAGGGCATCTTTTGGATATTAGCAGACAGGAAGGATAGGAGGGGACTCTTCCTTTACCCTAAGCTTAAACATATGAAGGCACTATGAATTAGAGAACTTTATGGGCACCCCCAAATTCATGTAGCTCTCCTTTTCCTCTAATTTCACTATGGCTTACTGTTAGTTTGCAGGTGGCCTTTGTGCCTTGCTATGGAAATAGAAGAACTCAATAGCTTATGGCCATTAAAAACACCTGGGATCCACATTTTCCCAAATAACCTTGGCCTTTTCAATCTGGAAAAAGTAGGAATTACTTAAAGTCACCTTGGTATTAGACAAGGGCCCTTTCTACCCCTTAGATGATGTTAAGGAAAGGGGATGGATCCTCTGAAAAACAGGACAGGTGGACGTTGGCAACTAGATCTGAGATTTAATTATTTCATCCTATTTATCTCATCTATGCTGGAGCCTGACCTTTCCAGATGCATGTACCAGCTGAAAAACAAGAAATGGGGCATCATACAGGTCCCTTTTCTACAATTTCCATTTTGGGTTTTATCTCCTCTCTCCGCTGGGAAATTGGCTTGAGGAATTAACTGGGAGGGCTGGGAGTGGAACTAGAGAAAGGGCTTATCTTTTCTCACTCTGGATCTACTACGAAATGCCTTTTTGCCCAAGGGCTCAAAGTTTCATTCTGATTGACCCTGAGTCATTCAGACCCAAATGATTGGCTAGTCTAGTTTTGCTGATGGAAAATGACCCGTCCAAGGTCACTGAACTAGCAAGTTAGTAGCAGAGCCAGAACTAGAATTGGGTCTCTTTAGCTACTGAGCAGATTCTCTGAATCCTGGGACATAATGAACAGAGACAGATTAAAGTAGACTTTTTGGCCAAAACTGGTTTGGCTCAGTGGTAGAGCGTCGGTCTGCCGACTGAAGGGTCCCAGGTTCGATTCCGGTCAGAGGCATGTACTATGTTGGTTGCGGGCACATCCCCAGTAGGGGGTGTGCAAGAGGCAGCTGGTCAGTGTTTCTCTCTCAACGATGTTTCTAGCTTTCTATCTCTCTCCCTTCCTCTCTGTAAAAAAATCAATAAAATATATTTAAAGGAAGGGAAAAAAAATCAATGATTGTTTAAAAAAATAAAGTAGACTTTTTGTTTGCTGACAGTTGCAATCTATAATTTCCCCCCTTGTATGTAATCTGGATACATTCTACTTATGTGGCCTGAGGAGAGGAAGTAAGTTACTTTGTTCCCTGATTATTAACACATCTCTATTGAACAGAGAGTCACACTGTAGCCCTACTGTTTGGAAGAGCGTAGGCAGCCATGCTTTTCAAATTTCTTTTTCAATGTCCTTATGTGGTCTTTGTTGGCAGAGTTTTGGAAATGGGCCTCCTGAGTAATGGCTGCTTCACTTAACCTCCTCTCTTTGTTCCACAAAAAAGAAACTGATTGTTGAGACTTCTGGCCCCTGCTTTGATCACCAAGGGAAATTTTTTTTTTGGCCAGGGAACTTTAGATAGCCAGAAAACTGAATAATTACCAGATTCCACTTCAGTTTTTTAGGACACCTATTGACTACCTTTGTATAAGCTTCCTGCAAATTTTTGCAATGTCATTTTCTTCCTCTCATAGGATGCCAGGCATACTGTTGGCGCCTGAAACACTTCCTTTTTGCTTGTCTGCCCCCCCCCCCCTTTTTACAAACCTCATTGATTCTCTTTAACCTGTTGTAACTTGTTAAGCGAGCCTTGATGTAGTGGAAAAAGAAGTGGAGAGGAAAAACAGAGCAGAGAAAAAACCTCTAAGACAGCCATGATATCCCACTTTCAGTCAGGGGCAATGAATCAAGGGTGGACATGGTTCCTTTGAGAGCTTTTATTGGAACTGGGCGTGGACTCCTGAGATTTCAGATGATTGATAGTCTTGATATTCCTACTAACCCTCAATATTTTTAACATTTTTTTGAAATAATTATAGATTCTTAGGAGGTTGCAAAGATAAGTAGAGAGGTCCTGTGTTCACCCAATTTTCCCTATTGGATACATCTTAACATAATTATAGTACAATATTAAAAGTAGAAATTTGACTTTAGAATAAAACATATAGTTCTATGCTATTTTATCACATGTGTAGATTTGTGTAACTCCCACTACAGTCAAGATATTAATACAAAGCTAATTTTGATTACCACGAAGATTTCCCTCATTTCTAATCTCTGGTAACTTCTAATCTGTCCTCTCTTTCTAAAGTTTTGTCAGTTCAAAAATGTTACAAAAGTGGAATCACATAGTATGTTACCTTTTGGCATTGGCTTTTAAAAAATATATTTTTATTGATTTCAGAGAGGAAGGGAGAGAAAGAAACATCAATGATGAGAGAGAATCATTGATCAGCTGCCTCCTGCACGCTCCCCACTGGGGATCAAACCCGCAACCCGGGCATGTGCCCCTGACCAGAATTGAACTCGGGACCCTTCAGTCTGCAGGCCGACACTCTGTTCACTGAGCATAACCAGCTAGGGCTGGCATTGGCTTTAAAAAAAAAAATTCTGTATTGACTAAGGTATATATGTGTCCTTATCCACCCCACCCCTTTCCCTCCCACTCCACTCATTCCCTTACCCCCCCTGTTGCCTGTGCCCATTGGTTAGGCTTATATGCATGCATACAAGTCCTTTGGTTGATCTCTCTCCCTTACCCCCTACCTTCCCTCTGAGGTTTGATGATCTGATCGAAGTTTCTCTGTCTCTGGATCTGTTTTTGTTCATCAGTTTATGTTGTTCATTATATTCCATAAATGAGTGAGATCATGTGATATTTATCTTTCTCTGATAGACTTATTTTGCTTAGCATAATGCTCTCCAGGTCCATCCATGCTGCTGCAAATGGTAGGAGTTCCTTTTTACATAGTATTCCATTGTGTAGATGTATCACAGTTTTATAATCCACTCATCTGCTGATGGGCTGGCTTTTTAAAAAAAAATATATTTTATTGATTTTTTTTTACAGAGAGGAAGGTAGAGGGATAGAGAGCTAGAAACATCAATGAGAGAGAAACATCTACCAGCTGCCTCCTGCACACCCCCCATCAGGGATGTGCCCACAACCAAGGTACATGCCCTTGACCGGAATCGAACCGAGGATCTTTCAGTCCCACAGGCCAACGCTCTATCCATTGAGCCAAACCTGTTTCGGCAGGCTAGATTTCTTCAAGTTGTTGCATCTATCAATAGTTCAATCCTTGTATTACTGAGGAGTGTTCTATGGTATGGATGTTCTACCATTTTTTTTAGCCCATTAAAGAATATCTGGGTTATTTCCAGTTTTGGGCAACTTCAAATAAAGCTGTTGTGTGAACATTGAACATTCATTCGTACACAAGTCTTTGTATGGACATATGTTGTCATTTCTATTGTGTAAATACCTGGGAATGGAATTGCTAGGCCATATGCTTA